GGAGACGAGGCTGCGCGCAGCGCGCAGATACTGCCGGCGCCTCCACTTCGCCGGCATCAGTCGCGCGCCCGCCGCCCGAGACGTCTGCGCCCAGAGGGGGCTGAGTGGGGGCGGAGGGGGGGGGTGCATCGCCATGTCGCTGGAGACTTGCCCTCTTGCTCACCTGCAGCAGTTTTTTTGTTGCGACGAGCCAATTGGGGCAGAAGTGCGCGACAGCGGCGCCCCCGATGATCCAGTTCCACCCCGGCGCCGCCGCCGGAAAGTCCGCAGACGCGGACAAGGTGGGCGCGATGACCACTTGCGCGCGCGATCTTGCATCGCGCATCCTGAGCGCGCGCGCGCGATTCAACGCGTCGGCGTGGAACGCGGCGGGGCCGATCGACGACGTGTTCACGGATCTCCGCGGCATTGCCAATACTACTGATATTCACTGGGATTTCATTTTTGCGCGGGAGGGGCCCGGCGATGACGCAGCCGCAATCGAGGCGGCGATGGCGGGGCGTCCGCGGTGCATTCGAGCGAGCGGGGGAGGGGCGGTGGGCGCGGCAATTTTGATTCGCCGATTTCACGTCTCAGGCTCTGAAGGGGCGCGCGCGGCGGAGGGGGGGTGGGCTAGCAGCGCGAAGGGGGGCGACTCAGGCAGCGCAGGCAAGCATGGGCTCTGACCGTTCTTCCAGCAGGGTGCCCTGCGCAACGCGGGGCGAGCGGGAGAGGCCACGCGTCGCCGATGCTTTCTACGACATCAGAGAAGATGATCTGCGGGCGCGCCGCGCGCGGGGCATCGGCGCCTCGGGGCAAATCACATATTTGCGATATGCCAAATTGCGATGCCGCGCGCGATTTGATGCAGAGCGCGGACCGCGGGGCAGTTTTGGGCAAAGGCGGGGGGCAGGGCGCGGCGGGAAAAAGAGATGGGCGCCGCAAATTGGCAATGGCTGGGCGCGCAATCCTCGGATCGGAAGAGCCGCGCGGCCCGAGAACAAGCTCCGCGGGGTAGTTGCGGGGCAGCCGCCGGCGTGATCGAGGCCCTCGTCCACGCGGCTTTTCGACGCGGGGGGCGTCCGAGAATGGGGGCGCGAACGAGCCGGTTGCAGACCGTCGGGGATATTGGGGGACAGCGGACTAGCGCAGCCACCATGCACGATCGATTGCACTGCGCCGAAGACGCGGGCAGGGCGCGCGCGGCAATGGATTGGCGCAGGAATAATCGACCCAACAGGGCGCGCAGAGAAGCAAGTTCCTTGCAGGTGTTTTGGACAGCGATCACCTACTAACGGACTGTGGTATCATGGCCCACGCGCCCGCAGCCATCCGCCAAGTTTTGCATTTCGCGCGCGCGGGCGCGGCCGCCCCGACAAGACCGGCAGCCCCCGCGACGGTGGAAGAAATCAGCGGCGACTTCGACGAAGCCATTCGGAAGCTAGAGCAGAATAACGCACGTGCCGAAGATGGCGGGGTCGCAGAAATTTTCCCGGAGAGCGAGAGCGCCGTGCTGAGCGCCATCGCAGAACGCGCTTTGCGACGCCTCGAACGGGGGCGCAGTCTCGCCAGGCGGGCGCATCCAAGATCGTGGCCCCGTTCAGCAGAGGTTCTCGAAACACGGCCCAAAAACTACCGGCCGCTTGCAGTCGCCCTGGTCCTGAGCAAGCTGCATAGTTCCACGCTGCGATGTCGCGTGTGGCAGAGTCAGCGGGGCGGGCGCGAACTCGTCCACCATCTACCTGTGCTGGATGCAGACGCAGAGGCTACGCTGGCGATCTGCCAGGAGCGGGGCGCCCGCACTCAGCGTGACACGAACGCCAAGAGCCGCTACTTTCAGAGCCCAGCAAGGAGATCCGCTGTCCGGCTCTCTTCGCAAAGAAGGGTTGCGAAGCCGTCGTCGGGGGCAGCGCGTTGGGAGAATTCAGGGCGACGTGCGCCATTTTCGCAGGCGGCGCGACCGTCGCGGCTCAGACAAAACGCGCGATTGGGAAGACGTTTGCTTCTATCAGACAAGAGCTGGCCAGCATAAGGCTTCGAATGAATTCTTCACGCTTCGCGTACCCCCACCAGCCCATCTCAAAACAGCAACTCTAGCGAAGCATGCCGACAATCGTGTTTTTCAGGCGTGTTTCCGCCTGCCCCCGCATATCTCCCCTGTTTCTCCTTCCTCCCGCCTCCTTGTACATCCTCCTTGTGGTGGGAGCGGGAGAAGGACGAGGCGGAGGAGGAGGGAGAGAACGCGCTCCTCGTGGTTTGAGTCGTTTGGGGTTTCTCGTCCTGGTGTGAGTCGTTCGGGCCCTTCTTCCTGGTGTGAGTCGTTCGGGCTCTTCGTGGTGTGAGTCGTTCGGGCTCTTCGTCCTGGTGTGAGTCGTTCGGGCTTCTCGTGGTGTGAGTTGTTCGGGCCCCTCGTCCTGGTGTGAGTCGTTCGGGCCCCTCCTCCTGCCCGTCCAGAAACGACGCCCAGGCGAGTAGAGGGTCGTCCTGATGGGCTTTTCGGCGTCTTGGGTTCCGCGGGGGGGCCTATTTGGGCAGTTTGGGATCCTCTTGGGGGCCTCCTGGGGGCCTCTTGGGGCCATCTTGGGGCCTCTTGGTGCCTCCTGGGCGCTTCTTGGGGCCATCTTGGGGGAAATCGATCAAAGAAGAGGGGAGCTTTAATTAGCGCTGCCCCCTCAGAAGGCCAACATGGGGCCAAAACCGTAGTAAAATCAATGATTCAGGCTTGAAAGAAGAGGGGAGCTTTAATTAGCGCTGCCCCCTCAGAAGGCCACCATGGGGCAAAAACCTAAGTAAAATCAATGATTTTGGCTTCAAAGAAGAGGGGAGCACTTTTCTGCCTCCCCCCGTCGGGGCCAGAATCCTCGTGAGGGGTGGCGTTTTTTAGCCCTCCCAGGAGTCGAAAAAGACCCCTCCAACGACCCGCGGGGCGCCCTCTCCAGGCCCAGGGGGAGGGGGCAGGGGGAGGGGCAAACCCCTCCCCGAAGGGGAAGAAGGGGGGTTGAGAACAGAGAGAGAGAGCTTTCTAAACCACTCACGCCCAAAGGGCAGGCGGCGCGACCGTCGCGGCTCAGACAAAACGCGCGATTGGGAAGACGTTTGCTTCTATCAGACAAGAGCTGGCCAGCATAAGGCTTCGAATGAGTTCTGGGAGATGCAGCGCCCAGTGTGTGGGGGAATCGCGTTTGCGGGAGAAAACGTCACATTGGCGGGCGACCGTTATCCGCTATGCACTTGCAACGAAGACTTCAAAATTCCCGGCGCTATGCTGACTCTAAGCAGGGGCGCCGATGCGGAGTTCGAGCGCAGACTCGGAGCAGGATGGTCTAAGTTTTCCAGCCCCCAGCATTTGTTGGCGAAGCAGGGCGCCTCGCGGATCAAACGGCTTAAATTGTGCGAGGCGACTGTCTCCAAGACCGTCCTGTTGCGTGCAGAACTGGCGCAAAAAAAAGGCGCTCGCGAAGCATTCGGGGAATTAGGTTGTTCCGAATGGCGGGCCAATCGAGGCGACCCGACGAAGAGGGCATCAATTGCACCAAGCGGGTTGCCCATTAGCCCGTTGTCAATGTGGGGAAGAGAGTTGTCTACAAGCAAAGGGCGCTCGGCAGGGAAGATCGCAAATGTGGTTGTGGACCTGTGGACCCAGGGGACCACCGAGTGGAAGATCAACGCCTGGCGGAGGGAACAATCTGGAGGAACCATTGCCTGTCCAATCCGTTCGCGCTTTGTGGGGTTTTCAAGGTGGGAGGACGATTTGTTTCTATTCGCTCTTGGGAGGCATTGGGGGTTGTGGGTGTCTTCAGACCAGAGCAAAGACGCATGGTCTACATGCGAGAGGCGAGGGCGTGAAACTCTCATGGCGGTGGCGAGTCGCACCACATTTTTTCACACTGTGGACCCGTCTGCCTCCCTCTCGCCCCCTTTGCTTCCTCTTCCTCCGCTAGCGCAGTGGATGGTCATGCGTATGTCGCAGCCCGCCCCCGGTCTCCTTAGAGGGCCAGCGCGCTACAGGCGGGCCTGCCTCCCTCGCACGGGCGCCGGCCCCCTCCGGCGACGGCAGCGTCGTCCGTCGTTCGCTGTCAGGGGATCAAGTGGCACTGCGGCTGCAGCGGGGGGGCGTCTAAGGCCACAGCGAGGACGCGAAATTAGCCGCGCTTCGCGGTCTGGGCGATTGCCGAGCGAAGCGCGAGTCTCCCATCGCGTTCCGGGGCCGAGGGCGGCGCGAAGACGCGAAGATAATCGCGCTTCGCGGGGCGTGAAGCGCGAAGATGATTGCCCGACAAATCCAAGGAAGAAGGGGGACGAGGATCAGGATTCTCTGAATTCAAAGTTTTTTATGAGCAGGGCGCCGGTTCCTCGCGTGCCCGAGCGAGGGTAGCTTATCATCGCGTGAGCGTGCTCGCCTCTCTTCTCGCTGGCGCGCGCTCATGGGAGAAAAAACGCGCAGAATGAGGGGGAGAGAGAGAGAGAGAGAGAAGGAGAAAGAGAGATAATTAGAGAGAGAGAGAGAGAGAAAAAAAAAAAAGAGGAGAGATGAAGACATTGGAAATACGAAAGGGTCACATACATCGGCGGGTGAGACGGGAGGGGAGAGCACCTTAATAGAACAGTCGGTGCCCTTTGGCTTCCTTACCGGTTGTGGGGGTAATTCGGGTGCCATTCCGCTTTGATCCGCCATCCGCCATCCACCATCGTGCCCATTGGAGGAGGGACGGTTCGGGCCGTGCTTTCCAGGATTCCGCGGGCAACGGCCCATTCGGAGGGAATGCGTGAGTTAGCTTACGTGCTGTTTGGGACGACGAGCTTTGACAGAAGAGATCGGCCTTGATGCTGCTCCAGGCGGTTTCTGCAGCAGGCGAATGTAAGTATCCAGCTGCCTGCGGGAAGTTCCGCCACTTTGCCATCCCAGCCAGCTTTATATGTGGCGACTGTTCGAAAGGGGGTATGGGAGGCTGTAGCGCGTGACGCTTTGCGTACCCAGGACGGAGAGGGGAAGGAGGAGCAAGGGACATCGCTGCCGATCCTCTCCTCCCAATTCCTCGCGCCCGCCTGCCGGACCCTGCCGCGGTAACCGCACGGCTCAGTGTTGCGCCGTGGGCGGCGGCCCCGTTCGTCGCTGGGGCCGCAGCTCTGGGGATGTCGCCACCGGCATGGAAGGACAGGCTTGGGAGGGCCCCCCAGGACTCGGGCTCGTGGGGGCATTTTGGGGAGGATTCATCTGCTCACGCAGAGTTGTTGTTTTTTCTTGTGCCCAAGCACGGGCTCGATTTGACGTGGAGTCGTCGCGGCTTTGACGCGGATTCGACGCGGATTTGACGAGTCTGGCATGAATTCGACGTGGCTAGCGGCGCGACGGGACAGGGAAGGGCCCCCGTGATATGCAACAGAATTTGGCCACCCAAGCGAATTCGCGCCTGGAGGTTTTTCTCACCTGGCCCCGTGTTCCTGGGGACGTGAAAAAATATGACTCGGGATGGCGCGCTGGTGCCAGGGAAGAGTCGAGAGCTCCGAGGGGCGGCGTCTCGCCAAGCATCAGGTCGTTGGGGGTCTGGAGGGGGGGGGCTGGCATGTTGGAGTGACGTCTTCGCTCCGTGCGCAAGGGATTCGGAGCGGTGGAGCTCTCTGGGCAGCGCCTCCCTGGACTGTTCTCTCAACTGGCCGCTCTTGCCCCCTTGCCCCGCTATCATTCCCTCCCCCTTCTTTCCCTGGTTCCGTCCTCCTCATACCCCAGTGGCGTGTTTGTGTGTTCCCCTCCTCCTGCTTCTCTTCCTCCTCCTTGGCTTTCATACACCATGCCTCTTCAAAAGAATCGTCGAGCGGGCTCGGCGAGAGTAGGGAGACCAGGATGACTTCTTGTGCCACGCTTCGCCTCCTTCTTTGTCGTCTCTCTTTCCGCCTCCCTCCTCCCTCTCTCGTGTCTCCCTTCCTCCGCTTGCCCCCTTCGCCCCCTCCCTCCACTCATCCTCACGCATGTCACGTATTCTTGCACCCCTGTCTTCGTTTTTCGTCGCCGTCATCGTGTCCTTCGTCTTCGCCTTCCCCCTCTTCACCAGAAACAGGGTGTGTGTGTGTGTGTTTGTGCGAACAGGAGGCTATGGCGGTGGCGGCGGCCGACGTGGTCCCGCAGGCACTGTGGCAGCACAGACTGATGACGATGACCATCATCGGGGGGGACAGTTGTGATAGGGCAAGGAGGCTGGTAATGTGGGGGAGGGGGAGAGGGGAGAGGGAAAGAGGTGGGGGAGACGGGGGGAGGAGGGGTCGGGCTTGGGGGCGCATTGGCCAGGATTCCTTCGCTGTACCTTTGTTCGGCCCACGGATCCTCTCTCATCTGCTTTGGCTCTAGTTTGGCGCAAAGGGAACACATATAACTACAGACATGCACACACACACACACACACATCTGTACCCCGGCAGGTGGGGCTGCGACCTGGGTCGAAATCGCACGCATGCAAGCACACGAACAGACGCGAGTCTTGAACACCCATGCAACACATTATGGGGGGGACTTCAGTAGTACAGGATGTAACTTGGTCCCTGGCAATCGGCGTCGAGGAAGAAAACATGATGGGATCGTTGTGTCCCTGCTTTCGGCTCCACGACTCTCACGAACCGTTTCAGCTCGATGAATCGCGCACGAAGATTGGCTCGAGACTTCTTGGAGTCTGTTGTTTGTCATTCCTTGGATGGTAAGGTCCGTTACCCTTAGCTGCCCCCCTCTTCTCCATCTACGCTGGTCGTTGAAATTATTTATTTTGAGACTCCCCGATCCCAATCTACTTCACTTCTCGTTCAATCATCGAGTGGTTTTCCTCTTCCTTCCTACTACTCAGGGGGCTGGCGAAAACCAAATATACTTTCAACGTCTTCCTGCTTCATGGTTTTGCCTATTTCTTTCGACCGACGGGCAGTGGTCACGATCGCACGAGAAATGGAGCGTACTGATACGGAGTTCAACACGGATGCATTCGCCAGAACGTGAGCCAATACGTTGAGCCAACACGCAGCGTACTGGCACGGACGTCTTGAGCACGGTACGTGTTGCGTCCCAAAACAGGCGTATCGAAGCAGCTAATCACAGGGGGGAACCCTCATCTCTTTCGCGGGCACGCGGCGTGGCGTTCGCAGGCCGTTGTGGTGCCCACAAGGCATGTGGCGGCGGCGCTCTCGGGACCCTTGTTGGCCCTCGTGGAGCGGTTTGGTGTTCACGGGCATCTGGTTGGTTGCCTGCTGCAGCACTTGCGGTGCTCGCAGTCTGCATGCGGCCCAGACTAGTAGGTCGACACTGCCAAGTTGAGGGTAGTTTTATGCCATGTGTCTCGCGATCCATGCCTCCTACATTCCTATGGCAATGTGGGCTTTGGAAGGGTCTTCTGTCCTCTCGCGTGTCCTGTCCAATCAAGTCCGACTGTTTCTTGTGGAACTGCGGTGTGTCGCAATGGGGATCAGATGTTCGTGGTTGGTGCGTTCCACGCGACGAGGGCGGGCAAATGTGGATGCCGTCTGAGGACTGGTATCAGAGGACAAAGAAGGATTGAAGAGCAGGAGGAGGGCTCCAGCGGTACAAACCTAGTCAAGAGCTCACAATAGTTCATCAAGGATACTTGTACATCCCGATTTGGGTTGTAGCCTGGGATCTCGGAGCTGCGGGGCCTGATGTCGCGTTTGTCCTGCGTGCCCGAGACGGGGAATTTTTGACGTTTCGCGAATCCCCACCAGCCTGCGTCCTAATGCTGCAGTGGTTAGCTGCCAAACCGGGGTGCCTACCATGCCAGGCGTGCATTTCCCCTCTTCTCCTCCTGCATCCTTACGCCTCAGCGGTGCACCCACACCGTGTGCCTGGCGTGCACTTCCTCCCCTCCTGCATCCTAATGCTGTAGCGGTTAGCTGCCACACCGGGTTGCCTACCGTGCCTGGCGTGCACTTCGCCTCCTCTTCCCCTCCTGCATCCTTATGCCACAGCAGCCAGCTGTTGCACCGGGGTGCTCTCCCTCCTGTTTCACAGGGTTCTTCCCTGGCGGCTGGGGTTTGCTGCCCAATGCTGTTTCCTGATGGCGTTCAGGTGGTCTGGAATTCGTGCAAGGGCTCACACAGGGAACGGTGCTGCGTCACACTCGCTGAGGTCAAGTGCCCCCTGGCCTGCTCCTGGCTGGTGTCGGCCCCTACTGATGACAGGAAGGCTCCACTGGGTCTCTCGCTAATCTGCCTACCTTACGGTATCTGGACTTCGGGTTCGGCAAGTGTGGCTCTGTACGCTCGTTGGTCGACGTTCTCCTGCATGGACTTCGTTTTCGACAAGTGTTACAGGCTTTACTGCCGTTTGTAGTCTTGTCGGTGATGAGGTTGCCCCTCTTCACTCTTGCGCCGACACGGTGTTTTGGCATTCGTGTCGCCTACTTCACGGATGTCGTCTGGGTGTGCCTGTCGGTCTAGTTCGTCTCTGACGGTGCTGTTTGCCTGACTCACGCCGAGCGATCGACCTCTGCGTGGTTGTGGTCGCGCCGCCGCGCCATTTTGGTTGCGCTTACTTGCTGGTCGCCGCCGGGATTTCCAACGCCACCGGGTTTGGGAGTATCGGTTCTGGCTCTCCCTCTGAGTGGCTGCCCGCGCGCTCGCTTCGCTTGCTTTTCCTTTCCTGGTGCCTAGTCGCGGCCCGACTGGTGCTCGGACGGCTTTCGACCCGCCTCGCGAGCCTGTTGACCAAAAGCCCCCACCAGCCAATCCAGAAACGATGCCCAGAGCAATTGCCTCGATCAGGGAAGTGGGCAGCACACAGAGGAAGGGTCCCCCAGCGGAGGCCTCCTGGAGCGTCTTGGGGGCCTGTTGGCGGTCCCGGGCGCCTTTTCGAGCGTCTCGGGTGCCTTTCGGGGGTCTCTTGGGGGCCTCTTGGGGGCCTCCTGGAGGCCTTTTGTGGACTTTCAACGGCTCGGGATGGGGAACCATCAGAGAGAAGCTCTTGGAGAAGAAGGTGGGGCCGCAGAAGCACCTCTACGCCTTCCAGGAGCACCGTTTGAAAGAGGACCAGTGGGCTGGAGTTACCCACAGTTTGCGTCAGAGAGGCTACCAAGTTGGTGGAGCGGAGGCGGTGCCCACGCTGGGCCCCATGGGTGAGCCAGGAACCTCTGCAGGAGTGGGAATCGCTGTGCCGAACAGGATTGGCATGGCGTACGTGTGTGGGCAGACCAGCTGGGACTGGTCCCCCAGAGGATCCCCAGGAAGAGCTGCAGCGGCATGGGTAGCAGTAGGTAGAGGCGGCATCGTGGTGGCGACGGTGTACCTGTGGACGGCCGAGCAGATGTCGCGGCGGAACAGGGGGCTGATGGACCACGTGTTGGGGAAGCTGCACGAGCTCAACATGCCGTGGGTGTTGTGCGGGGACTTCCAGAATGCCCCTGCCGTCCTGGCGGGCTTGGATTCGATCAAGCTCATTGGCGCGACGCTGGTGGCCCCCTCTGCCGCGAGCGGCACCTGTCGGTCTGCGAGTGGATGTTCCACAATAGACTATTTCGTGGTCTCGAGGGAGTTGGCAGGCCAAGTGAGGAAGGTGGCCATCCACGAGTCTTGGCCTTCGGCGCCGCACAAGCCGGTGGGGATCACGCTCGACCTGAGGCCGCAGGAGAGGAAGGAGCGGATTCTCATCACGCCGAAGAAGTTGGAAGGAATCAGCATCGGGCGCGCGCCTGAGCCGCCCGTATACGACGAGGTGGGGGCTTTCAGCGACGTGACGGTGGCGACCAGTACCTGGGCTTCCTTCATTGGCAAGCTGGAGCGCGAGGCTTTCGCGCTGCGGGGGCTGGAGTGGCACCCCAGGCATGAGTGCGCGGGGCGTGCGGACCCACCGCGCTGGAAAGAGAGAGCGATCCTCAGAGGAGGCGGCAACCACCCAGCCCCGCAAGGAGACGCTCTGTGGTGGCGGTGGCTCGCGCGCACGCTACAGACCCTGGCGGGGAACTACGAGAGGCTCAGGTCGTCTTCGGGCAGTGCCCGTGCGCGCCAGGAGTGGTGCATGATAGCTAGTGATCTGGAGGAACGCTTCAGGAGCGTGAGCCACGAGTTCAGGTGTGAGCTGGTCGGCGAGGAGAAGGAGCGGTGGAAAGAAAGGTGCACCCTGCTGGCGAAAGGGCGCTGGCGAGGTGCTGACCAGAAAGCCAGCCTGGACGCGATGATCCTGGAGGCCAAGGAGCGGTCCAGGCGGGAGGACCAGGCCCTGATAAATGAAAGAAGGAGGCAGTGGGCTGCGAAGCTGGAGGAGGCTGCGAAAGGAGCAGCGGGCGGTCTCCACAGAATCAGCAAGCCAGTGGACATTTGGAGGCCGAGGAGAGCGAGTACACCCCAAGCTTCGGCAGACCCGTTGCGGGCAGCGGAAGCGGCCCTGGGGGAGTGGAACGCAGTCTGGAAGGTGAACGACCCGATGCAGGAGCAGGAGCGGCGGTGGGAGACGGAGCCGCGTCAGGAGTTGCCAGAGTTCACAGTGGACGACTTGGCCAAGTTAAAGAAAGTGGCGCGCACCTTCAAGAAAAAGACAGCGCAAGGAGTGGACCGCTGGCACCCCGCCATGCTGCAAGGGGCTTCGGACGCAGCGCACTGGACGCTCCTGCAGATCCTGAGGGAGGTGGAGCGCACGCTCGTCTGGCCGCTGCATGCAGCCACGGTCATTTTCTTCCTGATCCCGAAGAGCGTAGCGGTTGATCGTGCCATCGGCCTCCTCCCGACCCTGGTGAGAGTGTGGGAGATCATGAGGGAGCCCTACATGATCGAGTGGGCCAAGGCGAACCAGCGCTCTTGGGATTGCACGGCCTTCGGCAAGGCGGCGGAGGACGCGGCTTGGGAGGTTCTCCTCGCCAACGAGGGCGACGAGGTGCAGGATTCGGACCCGCGCACCCTAGCGACGGTGACGGCCATCCTCGACCTGGTCAAGGCTTTCGAGAGGGTGAGCTTGCATGTGCTGTGGGAGCGTGGTAAGGCCATGGGCTTCAATACGGGGGTGCTGGCGGTGGTGTGCTCCTACTTTGCCATGGCGAGGCGAGTCAACACGGGGGAGGCCATCTCGGAGGAGACGAGGACAGTGGCTACGATCATCGCGGGCAGCAAGTTCTCGGTGGGTTTCCTCAAGATGGTCATACAGGA